TATTGCTCCAAAACCTTCAAGAAGGCCCATAAGCTCAGTATTCATAGAAGAAGTCACACAGGAGAAAAGCCACACTCATGTGAGTCCTGTGGTAAGGCATTTGCTCGCAAGGACCACATGCTGAAGCACATGAATATACACCTGAAGAGAAGAAGAAATTCGCTATTCTTGAGAAGCGTAAATCAGAATTTGTGGACAGACATGGAATCTGTTAATTTTCAGGAGATAAAGATTGAAAATGAGGAAATTGAAGATCAGTTTGAGACACAGTGTGCCAAAAAAGTGGAAGAAAAGATATACTCCTGTGAAATATGTGGCCATACATTTAAAAAGGTGTACAACCTTCAGTCTCATATGGAGATACATAGTGACAGAACACTTTTTGAATGCAGTGTATGTAATAAGCAGTTCAAAGTTAAAAAGAATTATGAAGCTCATCTTCTGAATCATGAAGAAACAACTTCAGGCCTGATGGAAAAGGCAGCAGAAAATACAAATCTTGAGAAAGCTAGAAATCAGCGTGCTCAATGCACAGTCTGTGGGAAGTGGGTTGTGTCACAGAGCAGCCTAGAGACCCACATGAGATCACATACTGGTGAGCGTCCCTTCAAATGTGACAGATGCAATAATGCATTTATGCGAAAAGGTGACATGTTACGCCACATGAAGTCTCATACTGGTGAAAAACCATACGTGTGTCATTACTGCTCTGCGACTTTCTCAAGAAAGGACAAACTTGCATTCCACATCAAGAGGCATGATGAATCAAATGAGACAAGTGTATAATTCAGAGTTTTATATGAGCTTCATACCAGTGAGATATTGTTTTGTTTTGTATAAAGAGATGAGCATTTTCTATTATATTCAAAGTATATAAAAGAAAAGAAGAAAAAAGTTATATTATATTGTAAAAACTTTTTCACAGCCAGAATATTCAACAAAAGAAAAAAGATTAAGAGCAAAATCTAGTCACATACAGTAATATGAGTTGCTTTGCCAATTTCTCCCAACATGAACCATCCTTAGCTGTTGGAGTGCAATTTTACTTGTTTTACATATAGAGATGTATATTCTTCACATGATCATATAAGATAAGTACTTAGGACTTTATTTTTTCTTTGTGCCATTCTAATACTGAGTAATATTGAAAAAAATAGGGAATTCAATTAACTTGGAAGATGTTGTTTTTATCGCATTTTACTTGAAGTCGTTGGTTTTTATCACAAGGTTTAAATGAATCTTTTTATGGCACAGATACATTTTGTAATTCTAATTAATCTAAAATAGATCTTATCCAATCCACAGGGTGCTTTACCCTCCCACCCCCTGCTCTTCCATAGTAGTTAAATGTTTGCGTGTTTTTCCCAAAAGGTAAACTGAAATTCCTATGGTTGATGTGGGTTCTTCATGGGGTCTGGCAAAAAATAAATGATATAAAATACAAGTACCAGTATCAAACTCAGGCATTGTGGAGTGTGTTGCAGAAAGTACATAACGCTCCACTGATGTGTCAGTTGTTAAAGAGTTCTGTATGGTATGTCTATAAAATGTAGTGTGATAAGAATAGCCATTTGTATGGGCATTTATGGGTAGTCACCAATATATTATTTGATTTATTCCTTATATATGGCATTGTAAAATATGTCAGTATCAGAAATAATGTTATGTAAATGATTTTTTAAAATCTGTGTTATATAAAAGGTATTGGATAGGGATATTGTTAAGAGTATATCTTGTTTATTGACATTGTCTATATTCAGATGGTTACAGGTTTTAGTAGATAGTAATGTTACCAAATGTTGTTTTGTTACACTTTTTGTATAGTGTTGGTGTGTGGCAGTTACTTGATGTAGGTGGAAGAGTTTTGCTCAAATTCCCCTTTAGGCTGGTAATGTGATGCTGTTCTTTCTCCAGTAAAGAGAAAATATTAACCAGTGTATGATGACATTCTTAGGAAATACTTCTATTTTTTTCCTCAAAGCCACATCCAACTGCACCTCACGTTCTTGATATCACAGTTTATGAATCCTTTTATGCTTAACAGAAGACACTCTGCCATGTATAATTATAAAAATATGTGCTGCATCTGAATGTGTTGGTAGCATGAATGTAATAATACCTTTAATGAATATTTTGCAATATAATGATAAATTAATATTTTGTTCCTGTTGTTAATTAAGTTTGAGATTAGTTGTTTTACAGAGATGGTTGAAGGGAAATTTTAAGTATTATATTGGTAAATTCTATTGATTTTGTTTTGCAAGATCAACTTCAGATATTATGACTACTGTTTGTATGATTAATTTATGACACATTACTTCACTGGTACTCAGAATAACATTCCATTAATGCCATTTTTTATACTTCAGTACCAGGAATTATTTTGGTTATAACAACATATTGTCAACATATGTATTTCAGTTTCACAATTTGTGACTTTGATAGAATTGTGATGGTATCACTCTTGTATGGTCTTGGGAGGAGTTTTTAAAGATTGTTGAATAATAAGAGTTGTTATTTTCTTGAAATCTGAATATTTAGGACTCTCATTATATTTGTACTTGACTTAGGATATGCAATTTTCATATCAAAACAAAGGAAAAATAAGTTGAAAAATAAAATACACTGGGTAATTTGCAACAATTTTGGAGAGCAGTACGAGGGAGAATGAATAATTCAAATTGCCTTTTGAAATTTATCTGATTCAGGAGAATAATTACACATGGCAGTTTGTTGGTTACATTCTGAGCTGGAGTTTGTTGAGCACATACACAGATATGTTAAGATATGAGGTATTTCAAAGTTGTATGAAAGTAGTTAGCAAATTTGTACATAATGGCACTTCAGGAAAGAACAAGTCGAGCAGTTATCACTACTGCTTTGAAAGGTTGCTGTGAAATATTTTCATAAGTGGTTTCCATGCATGCAATATTTCTCATGGATTAGTATATGGAGCAGAAGAAATAAGTCTGTGTAAAACATTTTCTGAGCAAAATATTTTGTAGAACATGCACTTTGTAAATTTCATACATTTAATGACTTATTTGGGATATTTAGATAGAGTAATGTTGTACATTTCATAGTCAGGAAATGGACAGATATTTACATAAAAATGGAATGTAAATAATAAAGAAATATGATTGTTATATGAAAAAGTATACTTTACTGTAGGTATGTAGATAATGTAAGCACATAAGAAAAGCATAGTCAGTATCCATCTGTGTTTAGTAATATGTCTTGATATACAGAAAAAAAACATTCTGAATGTACACTTGGCATGTGATAAAACTCATAGAGACAAAATATATTTAAAAGATGAGAATTGTTTAATTTTTTTTCTCACTTGAAATTTTATCCACATTATACTATTACTAAAATAATGTTTCTTTCTTTCTTCCTCTTTTAGTAATAGAAATACATGAATAGTAGAATAAGTTCAAATTATGAATAATAACGAACAAAGAAAAGAAAAAAATACTAGTGCAATATTCTATGCTAATGAAAACATTCCAAAATTATAATTCCTACAAATATAAAAGACAGAAGACGAAAATTAGAAAGAAGAGGTGGAGAAAATAAAGACGATGTCTAGGAAAAATTACAGCGAAAACTTCATTAAAACTGAAGACAGGGCAAAAGAACTAGAACTGAACTAGATTTTAAAACAATTTCCTTCTTGGTTTGGCAATGGAAACCAAAGATAAACATTATTGGAGGTTAGAAATAATGGGACTAGCATTTAAGCTGGTAACAGGGCCTAATTTTCCTATACCTGGTGATTCAGAGACAAAATATATCAAGATAGATAAACAATTAAAAAAACTAGATATCTTGATATCCAGTGATTAGGTTCGAAAAATATGTATGAAACACATATGTCCATCATACAATATACGTGTGTAAACTCAAGCACCCCCCCCCCCACACACACACACACGCACGCACACAAACAACCACATCTGGACAGCATTAATCTACCATTTCATTTTTCTGCCCACTAGCCATATCTACTCTGATTATTAGCACCAGTGGCCCACCTCAGACAACGGCTAGCACCTGGAATGGCCAATAAGAAATCAAGGGATGGCCAAAAACAACCCGAGGACCTGTATCACAGTGACATGTACAGTTCATGCGCTCACACAGATATGTATGTATGCCCAAAATCCCCCTTGGGTAGTGGGTCCCAAACCCTTCTTAGTGATGCCACCATAGACCCTCAAGTATCCCTTCTACTGAACCTTTTTCCTCACCCCTCTCTGCACACACACTCACCTCATACAATTTTATCCTTTACAGCAAACTACATCCTTACATATTACATACTCAACTAACAATTGTGTAAATAGTAGATGAACGAGTGACAAAATTTAGAAAGGTCGACAACATTTATTCTACTATTGAATACTACGCCATCCCCAAGTGGTAATACCGTACGTGACACCCGGTTTGAGAATCACTGGCCGAGAGAGACTTCCTTGCGTACACTCACACGACCAGTTCATGGTGACAAAAAAAAATATGCATAGCATACTCGCGCGCCGCAAAAGGAACCCAGAGCATCTGATTTTTATAATCATTATATTTGTATCACAATTAAGTAAAAACAGATGAATACATGAATAAACAAATTAAAACAGTGATATGGGTATGGTAGAGACAACTACCTTCCTTCGTAAATCATTAAGCACCGACACTAGTCAAACGCGCTGGTGTCCTCGAAGCGCCTTACACACACGCACGCGCGCAATATGGGCAGAGAGGGGGGGGAGGAGTGCCAGGAGGAAAGGCCTCAGAAAAGGGGATGAGAGGAGGGGGGGGTCAGCAGCTCTGCTTGGGCGTCTGTTGATCGTGTCACTCTGCTGTCGACCGCGGCAAGACCCGAAGGTAATGGTGTGCGAAGGGTGTGTTTGTTTGTTTGTTTGATTGTGTGTGTGTGCTGGGTGTATGGTTGCTGTGCAGCTGCTTAATTTAGAAAATAAATTAGAGAGAAAGGTAAGGGAGCACAGCAGAAAGACGGAGACTGGATAAGAGAGAGAGAGAGAGAGAGAGAGAGAGAGAGAGAGAGAGAGAGAGAGAGAGAGAGAGAGAATATATACACATTCATTCACACAGATGTGTGTGTGTGTGTGTGTGTGTGTGTGAGCGTTTGTGCATATACATGTGTATATGTATATATATATATATATATATATATATATATATATATATATATATATATATACATATATATATATATATATATATATATATACATATATATATACATATATATATATATATATATATATATATATATATGTGTGTGTATAATATATATGTATATATATACATATATATATATATATATATATATATATATATATATATATATATACATATATATATAATATATATATATACATATACATACACACACACACACACACACACACACACACATATATATATATATATATATATATATATATATATATATATATATATATATATATATATATATGTATTATATATAATATCATATATACATATATATACACGTATCTATCTATCTATCTAACTATCTCTCTCTCTCTCTCTCTCTCTCTCTCTCTCTCTCTCTCTCTCTCTCTCTCTCCTCTCTCTCTCTCTCTTCTCTCTCTCTCTCTCTCTCCTCTCTCCAAATATATACCATATATATATGTATATATATATATATATATATATATATATAATATATATATATATATATATGTGGGTCTGTGTGTGTCGTGTGTGTGTGTGTGTGTGTGTGTGTGTGTGTGTGT